CAATTTGAAAATACTTTTATTTTGGAAGGCAAAATCAGAGTGACTTGATCTTAACATCGTATCTCTGTGGGGTTGTATACTGTTGATCTAAAGTGGAATTGTCCTGTTGAAACATGAATTTTTCATTTAAGAGCATTTTGAAATCGTTAAAAGAGTAGGTCGTATATGGGCAATTTGAAAAGGCTTTTATTTTGGAAAGCAAAATCAGAATGACTTGAAATTGACATGGTAACATCGTGAGGTTGTATACTGTTGATTTAAAGTGAAATTATTCTGTGGAAACAGAAAATTTCCTTTTTAGAGCATTCTGAAATCACTGAAAGTTAGGTAAGTTATGGGCATTTTCAACAGGCCATTATTTTGGAAGGCAAAATCAGAATGACTTGAAATTGACATAGTACCATGGTGTGGTTGTACACTTTTGATCTAACATGGATTCATCCTGTGGAAAGAGCAATTTTCATTTTTAGAGCGTTCTGAATTCTTTAAAAGAGTAGGTCGTATATCGGCAATTTGAAAAGTCTTTTATTTTGGAAGGCAACATCAGACTGATTTGATATTGATATGGTATCACTGTGGGGTTGGATACTATTGATCTAAAGTGGAATTATGCTGTGGAAACAGCAATTTTCCATCTTAGAGCATTTTGAATTCGCTCCAAGAGTAAGTCATATATGGGCAAATTGAAAAAGCTTTTATTTTGAAAAGCAAAATCAGACTGACTTGAAATTGACATGGTAACATCGTGAGGTTGTATACTGTTGATCTAAAGTGGAATTACCCTGTGGAAACTGAAATCTTCCTTTTTAGAGCATTCTGAAATCACTGAAAGTTAGGTAAATTATGGGCATTTTAAAGGCATTATTTTGGAAGGCATAATCAGAATTACTTGAATTGATATGGTATCACTGAGGAGGCTGTATACTGTTGACTAAAGTGAAATTATCCTGTGGAAACAGCAATTTTCACTTTTAGAGCATTTTGAAATCTTAAAAGAGTAGGTCGTCATTTGGCAATTTGAAAAGTTTTTATTTTGGAAGGCATAATCAGAATGACTTGATATTGATATGGTATCACTGTGGGGCTGTATACTGTTGACTAGGATGGAATTACCCTGTGGAAACAGGAATTTTCCCATTTTAGAGCATTTTGAAATCACTGAAAGGTAGGTCAATTTGGATCAATTTGAAAAGCTTTTTATTTGGAAGGCATAATCAGAATGACTTGATATTGATATGGTATCACTGTGGGGCTGTATACTGTTGATCTGGGTGGAATTACCCTGTGGAAACAGGAAATTTCCATTTTAGAGCATTTTGAAATCACTGAAAGGTAGGTCAATTATGGACAATTTAAAAGGCTTTTATTTTGGAAGGCATAATCAGAATGACTTGATATTGATATGGTATCACTGTGGGGCTGTATACTGTTGATCTAAAGTGGAATTACCCTGTGGAAACAGGAATTTTGCCATTTTAGAGCATTTTGAAATTGTTCCAGGAGCAACTCAGATATGGGAGTTTGTAAAATGCTTTTATTTTTAAAGCAAAATCAGAATGACTTGATATTGATATGGTAACATCGTGAGGTTGTATACTGTTGACCTAAAGTGAAATTATCCTGTGGAAACAGCAAAATTCTGTTTAAGAACATTTTGAAATCGTTAAAAAAGTAGGTCGTATATGCTCAATTTGAAAGGGCATTTATTTTGGAAGGCATAATCAGAATGACTTGATATTGATATGGTATCACTGTGGGGCTGTATACTGTTGATCTAAGGTGGAATTACCCTGTGGAAACAAGAATTTTTCATTTTAGAGCATTTTGAATCGTTAAGAAGATTAAGTCAAATATCGGCAATTTCAAAGGGCCATTACTATGAAAGGCAAAATCAGACTGACTTGATATTGATATGGTATCACTGTGAAAAAGACTGTGGTTGGAAAGTGTTGATATAAAGTTCAAATAGTATTTGGAAATACGACTTTTGCTTTTAAGAGCATTATTAAGTCATTGAAAGAGTAGTTCAAAAATGAAGATTCACAGGGCTTTTACTTTGAAATCCAAAATAAGATGGCCTTGATAGTGACAGGGCACAATTAGGGTACAAGGCTGTGTCATATAGATCTAACATTAGAGTTTGTAAAAAAAAAAGCCTAAATTATATGTTATTATGTTCTTAACATATCTGTTAATTCACTCGAAGTTGGCTTTTATTTTGAAATCCGGTTTCCACATCCATTCCCGTAATACTTTGAATACACAGGGAACGTAAAACAAACTGGAGGCTGGCTTGACTGCAAGTCTCGAATTGGAGGCTGGCTTGACACAAGTGATGAGGCGGCTGACTTCACCGTGGCTCACGAACGTATTTGTATATCAACAAATCAGTAAGTTAGTGTTCCTTAACAAATTCTTAAGAAATGTACTGACTCTATTTTACGTTATAGTGTGTCGCTCCATGGTGATGTTTGAGGAAATTGAAACAGGTACGTAAAACCTAAATGACACATCTGTACATCTATGTAAATGTGTAGTTGTTTGTAGAAGGGACCGGGCCCATACAACTACTGGACATAACCTGCATTCCTACCACATGGAAGCTTCTGTTCAGGCATCATAGCGGCAAAGATGAGTAGGCACATGGCTCAATACATAAGCGGGGCACAAAAAGGAATTGGCATCAATACCAGAGGCACAAAACACTAGCTACTGATAGAGACTGCAAGACTTGGCTGACCAAGCCCCACACTCAGATCCTGGAATGCCTAGAACTGTACAAGATCAACAGGACCCTAAGAGCCTTCATCAGGAACTCTATGTGGATGTGGCGAACAACACTAGAGACTAACTTCAAGCCAACAGCACAAGTCACCATCAGGTGCGGGATCTACCAAGGAGATGGATGATCTGTCCCCACTGCTGTTCAGCTTAGATCTGAACCCCCTCAGTGAGATCACTGACAATACTGGTTACAGATACCGACTACAGAATGGAGCAGTTGTCAGCCACCTCCTGTGCATGGATCACATCAAGCTGTATGCCTAGAGTGAACGAGATATCAATTCACTGATCCACACCACCAAGATATACAGCAATGACAGAGGAATTTCATTTGGACTGGAGAAGTGTAATCAGATGACAACAAAGAGAGGGAAGGTAGTCAGAACTGAGGGGATCGAACTACAAGAAGTCAACATTGCAGACATAGAGGACAGGTACAAGTACCTGGGGATCCCACAGGCAAATGGGAGCTGTGGAGAGGCTGCTAGGAAAGCTGAAACCACCAAGTACCTGCTCAAGGTCAGACAGGTCCTGAGGAGTCAGCTGAACAGTAAGAACAGATCCAGGCTATCATCACTTACGCCCTGCCCATGATTAGGTACCCGGCTGGGATAATAAGAGATAGAAGCCACTGACATCAAGACAAGGAAACTCCTGACCATGCATGGAGGGTTCACCCTAAGATCAGCACCCTGAGGCTGTATGCTAAGTGGAAGAAAGGAGGATGGGGACTGGTGAGTGTCAGTACCACAATCCAGAATGAGACAACAAATATCCACCAATACAACCGACCACGCGCTCAGTGAATACCTCAGACAGCAGAAAACCAAGAAAGAGGAGGAAGAGGAGGAGCCATTGTAGAAGGACAGTCCCCTGAACGGTGTGTACCACCGGCAGATAGAGGAAGAGGCCGACATCCAGATGTCCTGATCTGAAAGACAGCACAGAGGCACTAATCATGGCAGCACAGGAACATGCTCAGAGCATATATACCTGTGTGTATGAGTGAGACAGTTTTTGAAAGTCAAAGTGATCTGATTTGTTCACTGAACTTAAACTCAGTATTTATTCAGGTTAGGATGTACGCATTTCTAAAAAAATAATTTTAGGTGTGTTTCAGTGTGTGGACTGAACATGCACATGTGAGTCCTCATGTGTCATTGTGCACACTTGTGGAGCTCAGTTTATGCTTGTGGATCGACCCTTTGTTGAACACATTTTTCTCCATACATATGCATCAGTTAGAGCAGCAAACAAGCAATAAAAAGAGTAAATACAGCAAAACCAGTTTTCATCAATGTGATATTTTATACAGTTTCTGTTAAACACAGAGGAAATGATGTGAGCTATTACATGTAGGAGCTGGTAATGTGGTCCATAGCAACATGTATGTCAGGGGAATGTTTGTTATTATCATGGATTGTGTATGCTAAGGGCAGAGGGGCACAATAGTGCACATTTCTTACATTGTATTAAATCGGGAAGTGAAAAGGTTATGATTTTTTTTTCTTGGAATATGACTGTTTTTGTGAAATTCATGCATTCAGATACTATTGCTGACGCATTCTGTGTAATTACCTGAAAAATGTTGCATTGTGTTTACCAATTAAAAAGGATTCTTAATGAACGGGAGGAAACAAAAGGTAATGGAAGGTAAGTTTAAAAAAAAAATGAGAGCATGTATTTTAGTTTTAACATGTGTGTTTTTTCAAAAGGTCAACTAACAATGTTTAGTTCATCTTGATGCATTCTCAATCATCCAAGGAAGTAAATCTTTAAAAAGTTGATTCTGTTCATCTGGACGTAGCGTTTTGTGGGAGAAACGTTTCGTCACTCATCCAAGTGACTCAGCTGAGACTGAAGTCACTTGGATGAGTGACGAAACGTTTCTCCCACAAAACGCTACGTCCAGATGAACAGAATCAACTTTTTGGAGAATGTTTAGTTCAGTTACTTTGATATTGAGATCCAGTTTTCCCCTGTTGAATAATCTTTTAGTCTTATATTCCAATAAATCAGATTAAATTAATCTGATTATGTGTATTTATGTATGTATTTATTGGCCATACATTTTCCCAGTAAAACATGTGAAACACATATTTTACAGCGTATCAAGCTTTCATTTCATCAGCTTGATTGCCTTCAGATAGTATTCATTAAAACCACTTTAACTGATGCTGGGGTGTTACCAGTTTTATTTTTCTTTAATAAGTTAGACTCCAAACCTATATTTGCTCCAATGGCCATGAGTATTAAATCAGAAATGAAAAGGTTATGATTTTTTTCTTGGAATATGACTGTTTTTGAGAAATCCATGCATTCAGATACTATTGCTGAGTAATTCTCTGTAATGAACTCAAAAATGTTTTTTTGTGTGTGTTTCAGATGGATTCCCGATGATGGAAGAAGAAAACCAGTCAAGAAAATGTAAGTAAAAAAACAAAATGAGAGCATGTATTTAGCTTTAATTAACAGGAGTGTTTTTTCAAAAGGTTAACTGATGGAAATTCTTATTTTCTTATTGTCTGTAACACCATCAGTTATAATTTGCTGTGTTAGAATAAAATAAGAAAAAATAAGCATGCATTGTCTTGGTAGATATGAAGGAAGTTTAAGGCTTAGTGGAAGAGACTGTATAACAATGTTTAGTTCAGTTGCTTTGATATTGAGATCCAGTTTTCTCCTGTTGAATAATCTTTAAGTCTTATATTCCAATAAATCAGATTAAAATAATTTAATATATAAAACCATATATTTTCTCTGTAAAACATGTGAAACACATACTTTACATCATATTAAGCTTTCATTTCATCAGCTTGATTGCCTTCAGATGGTATTCATTAAAACCACAGTAAGTGATGGTGTGGTGCTGCCAGTTTTAGTTTTCTTTAATAAGTTCGAACTGTTGTAAACATTTGATTTTGTTGTGGAGCTCTTATATAATTATTACAGTTTTAAGATGTAATTTATGTTTGCTTACTTATTACTTTAGCTGGAGTTGAACTGTAGCAAAAGTCAAATGTAAAAAGAATGCCAACTGAAAAGCTGTGTTAGGTCTAATAAAGACGTGTCAATAGTTTAATTGACTTTACATTTCAGGGAGGTATGAATGGCAAAGAACTGAAGAAATGACAAAAGATATGTTTTTAAATACTACCAGTTTTGTATTTGTAAATCACAATTTCAAAGTCAGTACTTTAGTTGTTCTTTTTATAAACATATGATGCAATTTCATCCCTCTTTTATTTTCCTCGATATATAACACTCTCATTTTCTTTTGAATGTTGCTGTTCTTGTTATCTTTGTATTAATTGTAATCATTTTTTATTTTGAAATCATAGCATATACCTGACCTTCTCCATACATGGGGAGCTACCTGCTGTGATCACTGTTTGTGAATAAAGGGGCAGCTGAAAGTAGCTTTTAGATCATTTGGTATTATTTCATTTTCATTGTTAAATCATGAAGTGACATCACATTTTTACATGAAAAATTATATCAATTTAGACATACACACATATTTGTAACTATAAATGCAAGAAAAGTATATCCATATAATTGTCATTATAATCTCAAACAACTCCAGGATCCAAATTTTGGTTACATTTTAAAAGTTGAAGCCACATTAGGTTTACAATCATATAATGGCCATGAGTAAGTTAATATGACTATTTTTGACAAATCTGTGCATTTAGATACTATATCTTAAGGAATTATCTGTAATTACCTCAAACTTTTTTATGGTTTAACAATTTCAGATGCAGACCCAAGAACAATGATGGCAGCAAAAGCACGAAGGAAATGTAACAACTTGAGATCATGTATTTAATTTTAATTAACATGTCGTTTTTGTCTAAAGTCAGCTGATGGAAATTTTTATTTTCTTAATATGTGTCTGTCAAGAGATGTATTCTAAAGACACTTCTTCAGTAGAGAGTCAGAGAGTGGAAACACACAGTTTTACTTGTAGCAAGGGCAGTCACAGAGCGCTCACACGAGAGTGGGGGCTCAGGGACTTTCTTAATATTTGTCAAACCATCATTTACAATTTGCTGGGTTACAATAAAATACTAAGTACTTATTCATTTCTATTTTTCTTATATTGGTAGACATGAAGGGAATTTAACGCTAAGTGGAAGTGACTGTACAATGTTTAGTTCAGTTGCTTAGATAATGAGTTTTCCAGTTTTCTCCTATAGAATAATCTATTAGTCTTATATTCCAGTAGATCAAATGAAAACAAGGATTTAAACACTGTTTTAAGCCCCTGAATTTAATATATTGTTGATATATTTTCACAGTACAGTATGTGAAATGCATAGTTTACATCGTATCAAGCTTTCATCTCATCAGTTGGATTACTTTCAGATGGTATTCATTAAGACCACGGTAGCTGATGATGTGGTGTTGACAGTCTTTATCTTTATTAGTAAGTTGTAAACATTTGATGTTTGATGTGGAGCTCTTATGTAATGATTACATTTTTAAGATGTAATTTTCAAGTGAAAAACATAATATTTATCTGTTGCATAGTTTACAGTGCGGTGTTTTATGCACTGGGTTATCATGTAGAGTTCTGTTTGTCATCTAGCACCATAATCAGGTTTTGTTTTTATTGCATCTTAGATTTTCCAGCTGCTGTGCCTGAGCAGCCACCCAGAGACCCTTTGCTGCAGTTAGTCTCCCTGCAGGAGGCGTCTGGCTGCTGGCTGCTTGATCCAGCTCTGGCTGCTGCACTGGGACAGACCAACGAGGAGGTGGAAAAGTCAAAGCCTGAAAAGATGCACTGCTGTCAATTTAAATATTAACACAAAATGATGATGTGAGATAAAACAGATTTGATTCTATGATTTCAACAAAAACACATGATGTAATTAAAAAGACACCATAAAACAAAGAAGATGAAGTCAAACTAAATGTAGGCCTGCCTCACAGCCTGAGAATAAACATCTGCATATCAGAAGCTAAGGCTACGTCCACACTAATGCGTTTTCGTTTGAAAACACATTGTTTTCTCTCCGTTTTGGTCTCCCGTCCACACTGAGACGGCGTTTTCCTCAAGGAAAAATGCAGCATTTTGAAAACGCTCTTGAAAACATATACACTTCAAAACAGAGCTGCCCCGTCGCAGTGTGGACACTCGAAAACGCAGACTTTCTAAAACGATGACGCATTTTAGTCATGTGATGCAGTCATGTGACCAATTAAACAAAGATAGCGGAGGGCATTATACGGCAGTTGTTTTGATTGCTCTCAATTTTGACAGCCCTAAAACAGAGTATTATCAGTTTGTACATGCTCCAGATAGCTTTTCTTCAAATTCTTTAATTCTCACGTGCTTTTGCGCATACGCAGTACTGGAACGTAAGCGCTTTGGGCCGTTTCAATGTCGACGCGCAACTCTGTAAAAGCAACTCAAAACGCTAGTGGACGCGGAGCGTTTTCAGACGAAAACGCAGTCTGCAAATCTATCCGGGCTAGCGTGGACGTAGCCTAAAACACTGGTGGTAATCATACTCCTAACCACCCACTGAGATGCACCAGCGTCTGATATTATCCAGAAACTGCAGAGCAGCAGAAATTTTTGACTGGCAGGCTGGCAGTCCATCAGGATCGGCAACAGCACTTCAGCCAGCATTATTACAAATACTGGCGTCCTCAGTCCCATCCTATACACCCTGTACACCCTGTACTGTGTCACATCCAACAAGGATAACATCATTTTGAAGTTCGCGGACAATTCTGCAGTGATCGGTCGCATCACTGGAAGAGATGAGGCAACTTACAGGAGAGAGGTGGTCGGTCTGGTGTCATGGTGTGAGGACAACAACCTCACCCTCAACACTGGCAAGACAAAGGAGATGATAATGGACACGAGGAAGAAGAGGAGGTCTCACCCATCGCTGTCTATCCGGGGCCTTGAGGTGGAGAGGGTGAGCAGCTTTAGGTACCTGGGTGTCTACATCTCTGAGGGCCTCACCTGGACACTGAACACCACACAGTTGGTCAAGAAGGCTCAGCAGTGGCTTTATTTCCTGAGAAGGCTGAGGAAATTTGGTATGTCGGCCAAGATCCTCAGCAGGTTCTACAGCTGCATGGTGGAGAGCACCCTGACTAGCTGCATCACTGCATGGTATGGCAGCACTACTGCCATGAACTGAAAATGCTTGCAGAGAGGTTCAGAAGCGTGAAATCCAGAACATCCAGACTCAACAACTTCCCCACTGCCATCAGACTCTTGAACAGCTGACCCATTCTGAACAGTAATAATAAAAAAATTTTGCACGTCTGGTCATCTTACATATTAAGCCAACATATTAAGCTATAGCTCTTTTACACATATCTGTTTCAAATTTCCATATTTTGTCTCCTTTTCTGTCTTCATTTTTTTATTTGTACTATTTGTATTATATGTTCTATTTCTATTGTATATATTAATCGACATTTGTGGGTGGAAGGAATTTCATTGCACAGAAAAATGCCTTTTCTCTTGTGACACATGACAATAAGCACTGTGAATCCTTGTATTATTTTCTTCATCAGTTGTTGTAAAAACATGTCAGCACATTATTTTAGAGCATTTATGACATCACAGTTTGGGATTTCATCAGAAGAGCATCCAGTGTAATAATCTGCCAAATCAAATATGCAGAGCTGCCCACCTTGGTGACCCCGTGTGACAAAGAAGTACACAAACATATGTAATATTACTGGTTGTAGAAAGTAAAATGTGTGTTCTGTCTGGTTTATTTGATTGATTTTGATTTGGGGAATTAGACCAGCGGTGAAGTGTGGGCCACCATTCTGGCTCTGATCTGGCTTCATGGTTTCAAGATGGATGCAAAGGACGAGTGGGAGCTTCTGGCTATGAAGGCTGCCTCGTGGCTCTGTGCTCACAATGGTACTAGCAATGATTGTAACAGATAAAATAACAGCTTTAAAAAACAGTTTCATTCTACAGCTTTCCTCCCACAATCATTATTTTAATATCTGTTTTGTGTTTTTAGCACCGTGTGTGTCAGAGTGTGTGGATGCTGGAAATGTCCTGCTGGGTTGCAGCGTGAAGAAAGAAGCTCTGGGACTCTGAGGGTTTTCTTAAAGTAGCTTCATCTTCAGAGTGAACAGAAGCAGGTCTGCTTACTCCACACTGCCTTTGATACAGAGCTGTTTTATATCATCAACCCCTTTTACATGTTTATTTGTCATGAATTATGTACCTAATATTGGTTTTACCATTGTGGAAAAAAGTATGTCAAAATTGTCTGAATACTCCTGACACAGTAGAAGATTGGACCACTGCTGTGGCAGCTCATTCACAAAGTGTTTTAATTCCTTTTCTCTGCCACTAGATGGCGATTATGTTCATACTTTTACTGATTTCACACAGAAACACCAAAACCAATCTAAGAAGTCTTTTCCCTTCCTGTTATAGTTCTGAAAATGGCTTCAGTTCAGGACATTTTCAAGATGGTCCTCAGTGAATTGGAGTGAATAGAGCAAAACTTTTAAAATAACTATTTACAGTGTTTACACCATCTTCTAAACAAAAAAGTCTATCCTAGCTTTTATTTTTTAAAAAGTAATATTTTTATGGCCAAATTGAAATGAAACTATACAGAACGTCATTCTGTTTCTCTCGCAGGAGTTACAATTTTATCCATGAAACACTTTCATTCTGCTAATTGACACCGATTGATCCTTGAACGTCTTAAGACAGCATATAGTCTTCATTCATGTTTGCTTACTCATGTAGTTTGAGTTGAATCTGAATTTCCCAAAACTTCCCAATGACTTTCCAAATAATACTTAGCATAAAAAATTTGAAAATTTATGTTTGGTCTCTCATTTCTTTGTTTGTGATTCAGCTAATAACACAAGGATTTCATAATTTTTGAAGCCACACTGAAAATACTCAGCAATCTGTGCATTCATGAGTCGATGTAATACCGGTAGCTTAGCTGTAGCATTTGTAAGGCTTCAGCTTCAGGTTACAAGGAAATGACATCATTCACGTAGATTACTGATTAGCAGTGCTAACTCGAAATTTCTAGTTACTTTTCTCAAAATTTTGAGTTAATAAGTCAAAGTTTCGATAAAATAAGTCGAAATTTTGAGTTATAGATGCTTTTTTTTTTTTTTTTTAAATTTAGTGGCAGAAACGGGCTTCCATACAGAGCACACCTCCTTATCTAAGGTTTTCTGTGTTTCTTATTCTCTTTAAAAGTTCTGCTGAGGGCCTCCTATACTCGAAGTCTAAGAGCCAACTCTCTTCTTTGGCTCAACTTTCTTTCATAATCTTTTCACTTTTGTGAGAAATAAAACACAATTTAAGAACAGATTGTCATAAAAAGAAATGACATCAATAACTACACCAAGGACATTCAAAACAAATTTTAAACTTGGCTTAAAGACCATAAGTCTGATCTGAAAATGTCGACCAACTTCAACATTTAGATTGTGACACTAACTTGTCTCTCTTCCACAGTGTGTTTCTTTTGTCCTGCTCCCCTCTCCCTTAACCAGTTGTGGCAAATGGCTGCCCCTTCCTGAGCCTTGATCTCCCAGAGCTTTCTTCCTGTTAAAAGGGAGTTTTTATTTCCCACTGTTGCCAGGTACTTCCTCAAAGAGGATCATTTGATTGTTGGTTTTTTTCCTGTATTACTTAGTGTATTTACCTTACAATATAAAGCACCTTGAGGTGACTGTTGTGTTGATTTGGCGCTATATAATTAAAACTGAATTACATCTCTGAAGAAATGTTACATGCATGTTTTGTTGCCTTTTTAAAGTGATGGGGGAATAATTGTAATGGGTTAATAAAAAGGGACAGACGTGCTCTGTGAAAAGATCAACCCTTTGACCACCATTCACTGCATCATTAATTGCTTTAACTTATAGTCCATAATGCTGTAAAAACAAAAAAAGAAAAAGCTGAGTCATTTTCACATTTTTATTGAGGTTTGAATTCAGCAAGTCTGTTGCTGATCTCAGTAAATGTAACAGGATGTCTCCGAAAATTTACAGTTGTGGATAAAACAGGGTGATGTGTTATTGTCAGGTTTGAGTGAATAACAGGACCCAAATGCAGGACTTCCTGAGAAGCCACAGGCATTTTATTTACTTCACTTACTATTTATATCAGTTTGGCCAGCAGTCACGTATAGGTTCAAACAAAATGGCACGAGGCTGCAAAAATATTTATCATCTAGTAATCTTTATTAATGAAAGCATGAGTGTACCCACCAAAACACACCAAAGAACCCAACCCCTGTAACAGCAACTGGCTTCTTTTTATTCTCTATCATTCAGGTGAGCATCTGGAATAGCCCAAGTCTGGGGGAAGCAAACCAAATGAGGAACAAAACATCCACATATGCAAACATCAAACCACAATATAACACATGGAAGACATTTATATTTTGTACAAAGTCCTATGAATAATACAATATGTGTATGCTAGAAAATGCACAGATACATAAATAACAATCTTCTTGTGAGACGTGTGTGTGTGAGAGAGACGCAGAGAGTGTCGAGTGTATGTGTGTATGTCACCCCCAAATGTCACCCCTAAAAATAACTATATTAATAGTATTAATTAATATAATTATATTAATATTAATTTTAGTATCATTTTCTCGAATGATTTTCAAATGTTAGATTTTCCTAACTTTTCTATTGACAACAGTACAGGATAGAATAAAAACAGGTTTTATATCCAGTTATGAGGCATTGCTGCTTCAGCAGTCTGGTTTGTCATTAAAAAGACTTTGGTTGCTGTGGCAGAAAGGTAATTTCATGACACAAATCAGTGATGCAAATTTATAAAAACACTTTAACTGAAATATAGTAAAAGTTCAAACTGGAGCCTAACACGTGGAGACAGACAGACCATTTGCCCTCACATTCACACCTATGGACACTTTAGAATGACAAATTAGCCTAACCCCAAGCCAGAGTACCCAGAGAAAACCCAAGCAAACACATGGGGAACATGCAAAATCCACAGCCAGCCAGGTGGTGGAATCGAATTGAACTGCCCTGCTTGCTGTAAGGCAACAGTGCTAATCACCGCACCACCATGCTGCCAGCTCACTGGAGATTACTTCTTGTTCTTTTGGAAACAGGGACAAAACGAAAAAAAAGACAACAGATAGTTAAACTTTCTGATTTAGCCCAATTATTTAGGCTAAAGCCAATAAGATAGTTACAGACTATGTTTATATGAAAAATGCGTATACTTACTGCATGTGATGTATTTTAACCATACGTATTGACTTATACATATTACAGAATTTAATGTTGCGGGTCCCAAGGATGAAGACAACCGTGATAAATATGTTACCTGAAAAAGCAGGTGAAGAGCAGAGAAATGAAGACACAATGCGTCTCAGTTTTTCTCCAGTACGTGTCTGAGGAAGCAGCGGAAGGTGGGCTCCCTTACTGCTCCCCGAAACCCTGGAGCAACCACCAACATTCTGCCCCCACTGCTTTCCAACGTAATATGGATTTCTATTCTTTTAAAGAAACTGAAAATGAATACATATATTAATGAAACATGTCCCATAACACGTGTTTTACACAGAATATCCCACTCTGGGATCCCACAGTAACACCAGCATAGAAGAAATGGCTTTGATTTTGCCACCCTATTTGATTTTCATGCCACCCTCTTTCAGTAGACAGGATGTGTGAAACAGGAGTGTATGAACACACACACACAGTGTTAAAGGTGCTGTGTTGGGTGGGTGTATCGGGGAGTTTGAGTGTACAGAATGAGTATGACTGTATGAAAACTAGAGTGCTGTTAAAATGTTTTGACTATGGTGCACTTTTTTTACTGCAATAGGAGGAGGTCTTTTTTTCTTTAAAAAGACCCCCTTTCACAAGTGTAACAACTGTGATTCGGCCGGGGACATTATTTTTGGGCCCTTTCCACCTGAAGCAAAAACAGCTTCTCACAGTCTTTCTCACCCTCTCTTGCTCTCTCTCTCTCTTTCTCACTGTATTGGTAAAATAATGCATACCAATAATCAATACTGTCAGTAGATTCTTTCCAGCTTTTGATCAGCACCATGGACAGCAACCACAGTCAGAGGTCAGGGGAATGGACACATTTACTCACACCATCGTCTTCCACTAGGATGCCACGAGCCCTAAACAGATTTAATCTTGGTAACATAACAGAAAGACAATTGTAATGTTGATAAGCATGAAAGAGAAGAGAGAAGCCCATTAGACGCAGGTCCTCACAGATAGAATGAAAGGGAGTGATAATACACACACACACACACACACACACACACACACACACACACTAGGAGTGAAGATTTCAACATACAAGTGGTAACAAAGTTTCGCTCCTTTACAAAAAAAAAACACTCACTCTTTTGTTCAGCAAAACATTGACAATCTTCCTCTTTTGAGCATCTGTTCTTTCTCCTTTGACTCACTAAACAAAATTTAAAATGCAGCTGTGCTAACTAGCTCCTAGCTGATAAACAAATTGCTTCATAGATGATACCAGCAGTCAGATATGTCAAGTACACTGTCAAGAGGACACATCCTCCAAAGTAAAGAAGTATTTGTACTTTGTTAATTCCCACCTCTGGTAACATGTTTCTCTCAATCACAACACTTACATTATCTAAAATTAAATAAATAAACAGATAATAATAAGAAGAAGAATATTCAAACCTCATTTTTTCCTAGGTTTTAATGATAAGATAGTAATAATATACCCATCGTGAAAAAAAAAGACTGATCGGATTAAAGGGGTGTGACTTGAATGAAAACTGTGATGATGGTTACAGATTGACAGAAACTGTAACATAAAGCTCCTCACACCTGTGCTCTCAGGAGCGGCCTGTTTGGTACCCTGGGTGTACACTCTCTCTGCCTTTTTTCTAAACTGAGCCGGCTCTTTCAGCTCCCAACCGGCTCTTCAGGTTGTTTTCTTGCTTTAATTCATTTATTTTTAACAACAATATAAAATTATGCACAAAAGGAATTACTAATGTAAAAAAAAACACGTGGTTTTATTTAAATATGTATATATATAAATATATACGGTGGCCCCTAGAGACAAAGTACGTACAAACTCCAAAGCACATTTCTAGCATTAGCTGAACTTCCAAAACAAGAGCTACCTAGATCGCTTAAATTACACAATTGAAAGCATATGTGTATTGTTTGTGTATTTATACACAAGCACTCACATATATATTATATTATACAATAATTATAATTATATCATATAATACAAAAAACAACTATTTACATTTCAACTTTTAACTATTTAAATTTTCAGCTGTTTCCTTTTGAACAAATTTAAAACGAAACAACACAAAACACTGCAAACCACAGCGCAATTAAATATAAATTCAAATATGAAAAGAAAAAGAAGATGCACATTCTCTGTCTTGTAGTCCTGCATGAATAAACTTTCTGAATCCTTTATCATCCGCAACTGAAAATAGTTGTGGATGATTACTATACCTTTCTAATGTGAGGTTGTTGTCCCTGGCTCTCTTTCTCTCTCTCTTTCCCTCTGACTCTGTTCCTGTGCTATTGCCGCCCCTCCCCCCTCTTCCCAGCACAAAGCACAAGGCTCACGTGCTGAGTGAAGCAAAAAAAAGTGCCAGAGGGTGAGAGAAGGGGGGGAAACCCACGACTCCCAATAAGGAGTCGGCTCGCGTCGGTCACTTCAAAGAATCGGCTCTTATAGCCGTTTCGTTCGCGACCGACACATCACTACGCCACTGGATGCTCTCGTACAAGAAAATCGAGCATACCCGGTGGCAGTCTTGTTTCAGTTAGGTCAGTGTTGTTAGCGAAAACATTACGTGTTTTAACACCATTCTTCACGTATTTAGAGGAGGGGGCTGCAGTAAAACTGTACCGGAAACATCAGTACATTCTTTGAGGTAAGTCTGTCTATTACAGCAGCTGGACTGACAGGAAAACCTGAAAGCTTATCGCTGTCATGTGGGTGCTGTCACACAGAATCATGCACGGTTTATGTGTGTATACAGTCATGCAGTGGAGAAAGTCCACAGGGTTATACAACAGACGGCATGTTTAATGTGAAAGTGAAAGTCACGGTCAGAGGGACGCTTGGCTGGTTATAATAATAAACAAGACTGCAACAAAACCCGAGGCCTCTACAAAAACTCTGATTAATGCGTCAGCGAGCTGTTCCCGACAGTGACTCCCCTTTTAGCTGCTTACGTCACCAAAGTAACTTGTACTCAAAACATAAATCGGTCAGGAGCAATTTGTGTTACGAGTTTCGGTTAAAAATCGACCAGAAGCGCCATGTTTACAGTGATTCCTTTATTTGATGAAGGTTTATTTTAGGCACAGAGCCTAAAAAAGAAAGTAGTTAACGGAGAACGTTTATTCCCACGGTCGACATACCCGTTATCTCAGACTGCGGCTATATGTTTTGAATGTTCCATATTTGTAAAGTGTAAAAGTTTCAGTATTAAGTGTTCTTGTTTTACAGGTAAGATAATGGATTGCTGTGGTCTGCTAACTCTTCAGAAGGAACCAGGTACTGATGGAAAAGAAGTTAATTAAAACAACTTCAAATGTAGATTTTGTTGTTGTTGTAATGGCACATAATAATACCCTGATGTATGGTTTGTATTTATTCTAATATTATTTTTCTATCAGTTCCTCTGAAGAGCATTGAGGTGGAGCTGGAGGTGAGGGACCATGTGGCTACAGTGGTCTCCACTCTGAACTACGAGAACAAGGAGGACAAACCATTAGAGGCTGTTTTTGTCTTCCCTCTGCCTGGAGATGCTGCTGTCTGTCATTTCAGCGCTCAGGTTGGACAGACACAGATTGTAGCTGAGGTGAAGGAGAAACAGAAGGTGAGCTGGACAGTAAATATAACCTGATTATAAGTGAGCTTCAAAATAAACACAGTGAATGTCACTGACATTTGTCACCTGTGCTTCAGGCTCGTGAGGAGTATGATGATGCTCTGAGCTCCGGTCAGCAGGCCTTCCTATTGGAGGAGAGTGATCAGAGTCCAGATATATTCTCTCTGCGTGTGGGCAGTCTGCCTCCAGGAGAGAGCGCCTCCATCAGGTTGGAGTACGTCACTGAGCTGGCTGTGCAGGCTGATGATGGTCTGAGGTTCTGTCTGCCTGCTGTGCTCAACCCTCGATACCAACCTCAGGGTAGGACAACTTCAGAATACTTGGACCAGAAATGCTTAAACTATATCAGTCAAAGTCTTGAACCACCTTCCAACCTTCACACCACTGACAGAACATAAAATGTTTTTTAAAAAAAACATCTTCCAACTTTGCCAGTCACTGTAAGATGTGAACACAGAACCAGATATGCAACTGTTGCCACATACAGGAAAACACATACAGTGAGAAAAATCTGGAAGATAATTAGGTCAAGTTTCAACTTGATTTTCTGCAAGAAAAAGGATTCACTTCTCATCACATTGTGATTACCAAATATAAAAAGCTGTGAAAAAGAAATGTTCCAGTCCAGTGAAAAGCTTTAGTGCATCCTCAGAGAAATTACAAAAAGCCCAAAAGCTGTATCTCAGACTCTACAGGCCTCAGCTAGCATATCAAATGTTAGATTTCGAGGTATTAGAATAAGACTGAACAAGTGTGGCTTATTTTTTAGGGGTTGCAGGAGAAAACTTCTTTTCTCAAAAAGACATTGGCAGCATGTTTTCAAAGTTGCACCTGAACCAATCACAAGACTTCTTGAAAGATGACAAACAAACCCAAAGCTGGAGATATTTGACTGATTGACCATCACAGTCAGAGAAAACCAAACCAATCAGCACAAACACCTCATAAAACCTTGTTGGAACTGGTGTGTTTAGTTTTCACAGGACTGCATTTGTCAGATTATAATTTTTTTTGGAAGTAGGTTGATGTAGTGTGCAAACACAGACTCTCCCTCTCATCATGATTTTATATCAGTAAATGGTTTTAACTGAGTGTGTTTATATGGAGTTTCCCTTATTTTTTCCAAAAGTTAGATAGTAAACAGGTTTATATACTTAACACTATTTAATTCTCGCTGACATGAAATTTTATATCACCCTAACAGATTTTTTGTTTTTTCTGAAGAAGGAATAGGCAAAAAATGATGTTTGTGTTTTGTTACCGATATGGTTCATTATTCCATCCGTAGGTCATAAAAGTCAAGTTATTCCTTTTCTGTCACTTTTTCATTGTTTTGAATTAAAACAGCTGTAAAGTAGTTTTGTTT